AACATGCTTCATATTAATTAGTATAACATGATGAGATTATTACAGGTCGTCATTAGATTGTTGCCATCCCTTGAGGAATAAGATCAATTCTTTAAAAAAATTAGTGTTTGTTACAAAATGCACTAATGGTTATAATGGTTTAATTTCTGTATATAGCACGTACAAATTTATTGTGAGTACTGAGGCCTATTGTGAGAGCGTTATAAAATCACTGCTTCACGTGGTGCACCAGTCAGTCCAACCATCACGCTGGACAGACCTAGGCTATTATATCAAAGTTCATTAGCGCCCTCTATTGATTTTATTAATTAAAAATATTTTTTTTTCTTCTTGTCTTGGGGTTTCAAACTTTTTTTTTCTAGTCATATACGGTCACTGATTGATTGTATATATATATATATATATATATATATATACAGTACTTTTACTATTAAAAGATTAAAAAACAAAAATAAATAAAGTTTAATGGTAGGACTCGGATAGACAAAGAAAGACATCTTCTTTTGTCTTTATTCAAAAATAAAATTATAATATCTCTTTACAAAATTGCATAAAAACTGTTTAGATTTAAATATAGAAATGTATAATTAATAATCGAATAATTTAAGTAAACACAAAACACAATACCTTGTTAATTTCTTTTGATAAAATAAGGTCTATATCCACGGATATGTTTTGGATGAATAACAAAAAAAAACACAACAAAAACGTTCGCTTTGTTCGTTCATTCGTCACACAGTAACTCAGGGCCTATTCTGTGTTGTGACGTCACTACACTGCACAGAGTAATCGCCATCTTGCGTCTCAAACAAAAACAGTGAACTGGTGGAGCAGGATAGTCAGTAGAAATCTGTCAGAAATTGGAACGTTTTTACAATTTTTAGTTACCCAGTTTATGTTAATTGATTAAAAAGGAATAAGGCCATCGTATTATTATCACCTTCAGGACTTTTGATCGTCCATTGATGGCAGGGACGACCACAAGCGCTAGCGCTTTGCGAGCGCTAAGCCTGGAGTACAGGAAACTTCAGGAGGAACCAGTGGAAGGTTTCAGTGTGAAATTGGCCGACGAGAGCAATCTTTTTATATGGAACGTGGTAATCTTTGGTCCTCCAGATACGCTATATGAGGGTGGATATTTTAAGGTAAAGTTTAAAAACTGATGAGAAAATTGTGTTAACAATTAAACAAAATGTACAGGTGTAAATTAGGATGTAGTTTTTTTGTGAAAATTATGACGAATTAGGCCTAGGGCCTAGCCTAGTGTAGGCCCCTAGCTAGGGTAGGCCAGATGGCCTACTAGTACTACAGTATGATAATAAAAAGAAACCGCGAAATAATATAGGCAATATTCATTGGTCTAGCCTTAAATTCTAGACCCTAGTTTCGGCCTAGTTCCCTAGTTTACCTCTTAACTCTCTGGATACCGGATTCTTTTGTAGTGCAAACCCTTGAATACCGGATTCTTTTGACAGTGTAACAAGGTTTTTTGCATTTTTTGAGTATACGTCGTTCTGGTGGATTTTTGGGAACTTTCTGTAAATTATACAGAAAAATGTTTCCAAAAACAAAGAAAGCTTATAGAATAAGCTTTCATTTGATGTATAATTTATATTTTTAGG